GCTTTCTGTGAAGATTAACAGGTTTTTGAAATCGCAGAGATTTGATCTTCTGAATGACTACTAAATATTTAAGATAAAATGTTTCTGCAACAAGAAACTTCAAAGTTTCTGAGCTGATACAGGTCGTCCCTTAGGGTTAATGAACATTGCATTATGGACGCTTCCTGCATTATTGTATTCCTATCCCACCAGTTAACTCTGCTCCAATTCATTAACCTCGAAAGTATGGTAGGCCTGGTGACTCGGGACAGGGAATCGAAACAATGAGCATGTGTATATTTCAGAAAAACCTCTATTCATTGCGATATAGACGCTTCCTGCCTTCTTATATTGTGGACAAACCATGTTAATCGTAGATCCTAAGGGAAGGACGAAACGGGTTATCCGCCGATCCACATGACAATTATCCTCCATACACTGCATTGACATCGGAAGTGCTGCACCGCTACAAGATTGGTGCTTACGAAAGTCAATGAAGAATAGAAGTAAGGCTTACAGATACGTACCCAGATGCTGTTCCAAAAGCAGTCACAATCGCCTGCATCATTCCACGTACGATGAACATCGGATTCTTTCTTGTGATCAAGAAATACAGAACCGGACATGTGATGGCTGCATGAAGAACTAGTCCTGCGAGTACCGTTATCACGTAGCTAAAATAAGACTAAAGCTAGACTTTGAATTCTTGCTAAGAATTAATGATCACATCTTCACTGATGGATTTGTAAAGAATATTGTCGCTTGAATTACTGAAGTTTCGGCTACCTCAGTGTTCGTTGTGAATGTTCGAATACTCTCTGTGATTGTATATTTTCTACAAGACCTCATTTTCGAAGTTACATTTAGAAAATGAGAGGAAGCGAATCGCAAGAGCCTAATAGAATTGTGAAATCTAGTGACACACTTACAGTAACAAAACACCAGCAGTATCGGAAAGATCATTGAGTTCGAGTAGATTTCCGCAAACTAGACAAGTGATTCCGAGCGGAGCGAACCGAAAACGAGTTATTTGACTTTGAGAAATGATATAGTATTGGATATACCGTCTGGAACGCTTACCACATTAATGTCTCCACCCAGCGCATTATAACGGCGTCAAGAATCACGAAAAAATCGACGACAATGCGAGCCCGTTCTCCGAGTTGAGATATCACGATACCAAATCCCGTACAAAAAACGATTATTCCTGAAATATCAACAATAGCAATAGCTATAAACTATTACCTTGGATGAAAGAAGCAACGGACTTTCTAGGAAATACTGTTACATTTTATTTATATCGCCTTATTATTGCTTTACTACCCACGTATTATGAGTGAACCGCGATAACCATCAAGCAACTCCTGTAGGTACTAGTGATATCCCAAGTCGATCTTTTTATTTCGGACATGCTAGAGGTGCACAGTGAGTTCCACTCTCATTGGTAAGAGACCTATTATTTGTCAGATTTCCGGCGAACAAGCAGCCATAGTCAGATTTCAAGCTCTGACGTAGCTCTCGCCTACTTCTAACTAGTCTCGCGGATGTCGAGCTCTTTTTCAACTTAGATGTCTTTGATGTGGAGAGGTCGTGGAGCTGAAATTTCTCGCAGTTCGACATCCCATGAATGCTCTCCCTTCAGACATGATGAAGCAGTAAAGTGCTGAGCGAACTACCATTACTGAACACTGATTTCTTATGGTATTAGGATATTTGCTTTTAAGCAGAATACAGATAAAGAAAAAAGTGTCCTTCTGCATAGAAAAAGTTTTTCGATTACCACTCTCACCAAGTATATTCATGCCGTGTGTGGTACTGATAGCTTTTTTCATAATGACGGCGTCATCGGAAGTATTTTTTGAGATTCGTGGCTTTTGGACCACGTATTTGGTGTGAACACGTTCGAATGTCGCTTGGATGATGTTTTCTGGGAACATATTTCTGGAATAATCATTATTGATATGACACGTCCGAGTTTCACCTAAAATAAGACTCTACATGATATTAAGTACTTTAGTCAAGGAAATGTACGAGAAGTGCAATGTATCGCAATTGGTGTGACATGTTAAACGCGTGGCCTTTGCCCCGACCTTCTGTGTGGTAGCCAAGTCTCTCACTCAATCGAGGTCAGTAATTCGATATCAGACCTATCAAGAACACCCTTTGAATGTCGGCAATTCGCCGCGAAGAAATGGTAACGCGTTAATGCACATAAACCAGGATTAAGAGCTTCAACTGGGAACAGCTCTACCCAAACGCAAATTGGAAGGCCTCGAGTCAACAGAAGATGTGTTTTGTGACATGTGACGGTGGGTCCTGTTAGTTCAAAAAGGAGTGTTCATACCTCACTAAATCTAAAAATGTATCTAGTGGTGAGACTTCCGTATCGACTGGCACGTCTGGAAGAGTTCCAGCTTTGATAGATGGATCGCCAGGGTGGATAGTCATTACCAAACAAATTCCTAGCTGAAAATATAAGTAGAATAAAAACATAAAAGATAATTTTATCGAAAAGGAGCTTGAAGAAAAACGGAACTCTATTGTATCCACTCTCACGCAACGTTTGCTTTTATCAAGGATTACTTGGAAAAAAATGAAGGAAGTAAGATTGATACCTAACATTCTAAAAGAGCGATACAAGTGGAACTCGGAATCCGAGGCGGCTTCAAATCGGCAGTCATTCTTCGCGGCTTTCAAGCCACATCGGCCTTCGAGTTTTACTCGTATCTCGGCATTCTTATGATTTCATTCCACTCTCACCCTCTTATAATGACAGATGGGAATTTAATGCTAGATAATGCACTTGAAATTATGTTCCGCTATACTTCTGCTTACTTAATCAATTTCGAACTGACCAGTGTTGCTAATACTGTTGTGGTCAGATAGTAGAGCACAGTAGCAAGACCCATCTGTCCCGACTGCTTTGCGTCCATTTGAGCTAGTGCTGAAAATCAGTACTAGCTTCAAACATCATCATACAAAGCACAGCACGTGGAGTAGGCGTGCATTTGTTTAGCCGAGATTTTTTTTCATTTTATAGACTGTTTGAAATGCTTTTACTACCCAAGTTTGAGACCTGCGGTTTTTCCTTGTTGCCCCATCGCGCAGTGAGCAGTAATTGTCCACTAAATTACCGAGCACTTTTAACATGGATGAGAGACCTTTTCATACAAGATGCTAGGCTTCCCCCAGTACAAACGATTTTAACTTAACCCCTAACGGACGGCTATAGAAATCTATGCGCGCAGAGGGAACTGCGCGATTTCCGTTGTTTGATTAGGGTTTTTTACTTCATTTGGCGAAAATAATCGGAATTCTTGTGGCATTTTAATAGAACAAGATTGTTCTACTCGCTCATATGATTTGCTTCAGTTAAACGTGTCCTCTGTAGAGAAAACGCTGGTTTGCTACGTAATCGCGCTGCCTTTAGCATTCAATCAATTGTATTGCATTGTACTATAGGTATCGCAAGGAAAACCTTCAGTTTTGCTCTTCCCTGGCATTACACAAAACATAAGAGACATCACAGTAGATAGAACTTGGGGAACAGCTAGTAATTTACCAAAAATTATTACGCATGCTGTATGCGATACCTGTTCATCGAAAACTCTGCGATAACTAAGTTTATATCAATCATTTTTTTATTTCCAATTAGTCAGAGTTGACGTAAGTGAGAAAAGATTAAATACTTATATTTAGTGAAAGGAGTTTGAACTGGAAGGGAGAACAAGTTTTGAATAAAAAGCTTAAAACATAGGCATCACGCAATATTGGTCAGAAATATGTGTTTTCAGAGAAGTATTCCTAGCACTATTTCCCTACGCGCATCCATAAAAAAAAGGTACTTTGAATTCCTTCTTAAGGGATTAGATTACTAAATTCGACAGCCTCACTATCGAGAATCTATAGAGTGTGTTTGATTTTTCAATTGTTCTTACATTATGTGTAAAAGTAGTAAGAATTTCGGTACTTATATATTAGAAGGCGATCAATTTTTGAGCTAATCTCATTCGCTGGACAGGAACTCTTCACAGAAAAGATAGTAATCATTTGATAGCCTGCATTTCTGGCCAAAACTCCACGTAACCTAATTTTCATAACACCCGCTTATAACGCTGTAGCACCCAGAATGAAATTTTGTTTCCCAATGGCTTTTCGTCCCCATTTTTATCACGTGTATAATTCGCTGGAAGCACGAAAGCATATCAGCATGTAGACAATTTTCGTTAGCATCAGAGTCTATGTTTTTACTGAAAGTTTCTTTTGATGTGGTGAAGAAATCCCAAATTAAATAAAAATATTTCGCAGTCGGTTCTTTCTTCCCCGTCGTGAGTCGGTCGGTAAACAAAGTCACCGAAAAGGTTCAAAGCCGAGTGAAATGTGAAAAGGAGCCACAGCGACGATTTGTCAGTAAGGTATTCTCATGATTTACGGCGTAACTCAATAATTATCTACCGCATTATGCATTAAAACGGCGGCAACTATTTTTATATTATTAAGGACTTTTCCACACCATCGACTTTCGTGCTTGCAGAGATTTATACTTGTGATAAAGACGAAGACGAAAAGCAGGCGAGAAACAAAATTTTATTTTGGATGCTACAGCCTTATAAAAGGGTGCTTTGATAAGTCAGTGACGCAGAGTTGTAGCTAGATATTTATGCTTTTGAACGATCACTGACAGCCCTATGAAAAATTCTTGCCCAGCGTATGAGACCAGCTTAAAAATATGTTGCCGTCTAATATATAAATACCACACTTTCTTTCACTCTCAAGCATCTTTCGCTGGGCAGAAGTTGTCATCCAGACTTTCAATGACCATTCGATAGCACAAGTTTCAGAGATCTCAATGATAAGCTTGGCTTTGAGAAGGTACGCTTTGATGCGTTGGTACAGCAAAAGATTATTGAGTTTCATACTCGGCGCTGTGTCGATCGTAGAGCGCATTTTACATGCGGCATGCGAAGCGCGACGAGCGTAAAACTCATTATTCTAAGAGAATTGAGTGGTGAGCAAAAACATGAACTCAGGCAGGATTCGAACCCGCGTTTCATCCATAGCGGGGACGCGTGCTCTAGCATTACACCACAGGGGCACATTCGCACCACCACTCAATCTTCAAGGTCTCTATATTGAACAACTCAGTACTCTTTTAGCTGTAACTACGAACTGATCAGTCTTTTCCAGAAACTAAGCATGTCTTTGAATTTGTTAAAATTGGCGCTATAGAATGGATGTGAAAGCCTAAGAGAAAAGCTGTGCTAAGCGAAGAATACTCAGATATGCAAAACAGTTTTATTCAGTTTCTACAGCTTGCAAAGCAATGAAGAGAGTTTTTGAAAAACCAAGAACACTATTAAATTTATTGAGATTTGGGTAATCGAAGAGCTGTTAAATTTTTTTTAAGGAAAAGCTTTGTTCATCGAAAGATGCTTGAGTTTGAAATAACATTTTCCTTAAGAGTTAAGCTATCGAATAACTACATAAGTGCCTAGAATGAGCGAAAATACGTTTTTTTTTCTGAATATGGGTGCTGAAAGGGAAAGTACCGTAACATACGCAATGGTGAGTGCGTGCTCTTCCTACACTCACTCAAGGTGCTTTTTAGAATTACCTCCACACAGACCTCCATTAGGAAAGTTTAGTCGCAAAATAGTACTTTCAAGCCACGTTCTCGCAAGACAGGCAAATCAAATGTAAGTAGGGGCTAGAAGTTTGTTTTTTTACAGGGAAATAATATAATCGTTGAAAATGAAGAATTTCAAAAGAACTAATCATTTTTATATCAAAAAACCATTGCGGAGATTTTAGCTTCCAGATGATTATCAAGAGTCTAGGAGAAAACTTTTATGTAGCGAGAAAGGTCATCAAACATTTGTGTACATCAGCTGGTACACGTCTTCCCTTAGGGGTTGAATTAGAGTATTCGTAATTAGGACGTCAACAAGTCTGCGCAAAACATTTGATTACTAGAAATGGTAGTCTTCATTCTTCTTCGTCAATTCGTATAATCTACGCAGCAGTCGGTCTACCATATTTAAGCTATGCCTTAAGAAGAATGCTTTTCACAAACAGTTTTTTATTTATAATAAGAACTTTTATTTCATCGCTTTCATATTGGGTTATCTCCCATAATTTTTTCGCTTTACGTCTACTCGGCTTTTTCTTCTGTTTCAAATCGCGTTATGACCAAAAGGCTGTGATATGTTGGACAATGATGAAGCAGCTTTAGCCAGACACTTTGATACGGTCGTGCCACCATCGCCAGTCATCCAAGTGGAACGGACTATCCCAAAGTGATGTCTCGAAGATCACCTCGTTGCGCTGATCAACCACAACCGCGTTGCTTACGTGACCCATGTGCGAAACATTCTGCTGCGACTGCACTGGAGGGGCCTTCTCAAGTCAGTTATCGTGAACATGAATCCTGTATCTACTTTTTTTTTGAGAATAACACGCGTCACGCCTACCACCTGCCTCGTAGAAGAGATTCGCCAACTTTATTGAAGCTCACACTTCATACTCGAGGGCTTAAGTTCTCGGTTTTCTGAGATTGGTAAAATATGCTGTTCTGGGAACTACTTGACAACAATCAAACAGTCAGTGCCAGCGTTTAAGAGGAGCAACTTTGCAAGGTGGCCGAAGTGGTACTAGTGAAGAGTCCAAAACCACTCAGCGTCGCCATTCTCCAGGACAGTTTTCGATCACACATTGACCCGCCACATTTCGAAAGCTGTGGCAAAGTCGACTCGCCAAGTTTTCGAGAGCCGTGACCACAGTACCATATCTACCATATAGCCCTGATATGGCAACGTTGAATTACCATCTCTTCCTGCCCTGAAGCAGCATCTGCGGGAGAGAAATTTAAAGACTACAACCAACCTAAAGACGATTCTAGTAAATTTTCTGGCCGCCAGTTCTTTTTTACAAGAGGAAAGCATCGAATAGCCCACAAAATGGTTGCATGAGGTGCGCAGACCTGCACAACGTTGTAGGTTGCCGACTGACTTTCAAAATACCTCACTGAAGGACCCCGTGAGTTATACGCAGACTTCTTGACGTGGCTATAATATCAGTCCACGTCTCTGTTGCATAACAAAGCGCTGGGAGAGTTGTTGAATCGAAAAGGTAAGTACGGAGTTTGGGGTCCGCCATTCAGTGACTTCTTTAAAGACCCGAATGTGACCCGTGCTGCTCTTCCTCAACACAGTTTGTCATTACAAGATATTGATGTTACATTTAGAATATATCAATTAAGTGACTCCCGAGGTACAGTAGACTCGGTTTACCCGAAGTGCTCTTACTCAACAAAGCTGAAGCAATCTTAAGAGACTGATGCAGTTCAGGCTTAGTAAAAGTGAATAAAGCAGCAAAGACTCAGTTCATTTGGTTTTGACTGGAGTATTGCAGATTTGTACATTGTTCCCTTAAAACTTAGATTCAGGCACTTTTTAGCTTATATAAACATCATGAGAGCTCACGCCACTAGTTCATCAAATAGGGTAACTGTCTTTGAAGTGGTTTCAAGCGTATACTATACTATATTACCAACTATTGTTGCAGTTAGCAGCTAGAACCACCCACCAAGGGATTTACCACCCTCACTGTGACTGGCGGCGTTAGGTGCTTCTGAGTGTCGAAGAGTTTGCTATACGAGTCTCCTAGCAACTCAACCTAGACAATTATTATTCCAATGTTTTTAGTGGAAAATACAGTAATAAATATCATAACAGAGCTTTATGAACTTTATGTGGTTGGATTCTTCGAAGAAAAAGACGTTTAATGTCTTTTGTGTCTCACGTGAGCGGTCCCCGTTGAACAGTGGATTTTACTAGTACTCGCTTACTGTTACTCTTATTCAAGTTTCAGTAGGATTATATTGGTGCAGATATTTGGTGAAAGTAGCCACTTGATATGTACAACTCGTGACTATCATGAATATTTCATCCTTATCCAATAATAACCATACCGCTAGGGAGTTGGTGAAAACTCTTGGCATTTATTCTTTGATATTGTACTTTTTTGCAAGGGAGGAAGATTTACCTATAGGTGTATAGTATATATGAAACATCGTGACACTGCGATAAATGCAGTAGAAACGTTAGCAATTTTGAGAATTAAGAGGAGAAAGTCAGAAGAAAAGAGGATCGATAGGAGGAAAACATCGAAAAATTTCTGAATAAGATTGACACTAGCATTTGTGTGAGAGGAGAACGAACTATTTGTTTAAAGAGCAGACACAAATTTAACAATATCTTACAATTAGCAATAGAATCGGATGAATTCAGACGCATACTTGGATATCCGACTGTAAAGGGTTGTTTAATTCAAATTTCTGAACAGTCTTAGTTACCACGAAACCACTCACTCAACATCATTTTCTATCGCATGTTCTTTCATAATAACTTCTGTTTCACAGTTTCAATGGAAACTTTCACCAACATCAAATTTAATTGGAGATTGGAATTGGATCAAAGACTGGAATCATGGAATAAATCATTGATGACATGAAAGAACATACAACTTTTACACTTACCAGAGATAAGTGACGAAAATATCAGCGGTAATATCATCATTTTGAGGACTTGCATGAATACTTCGCCTGGAAAGTTGATGAGCTGAAGTGTTTCGGCAGATAGATCCAATGGACGAAGACCGAATCCTAATGAGACGCCTAATATGACCGAAATGATTGTCATAACCAGCAAAGTGTTCTCTCGACAGAATCTCAGTACTGTGCCGAGGGTTACTGCTGTCATTCTGCTCCGAGAAGTGGCTACTGTCTGGAAAATTTGAAAGACAATTTATAGACTTTTTGGCTAAACTGAAAGTGTTAGGATGTAAGGAATGAGAATGGAAACAGAACGAATATATGAATGGCTGATAGGTGAAAATTCTCAACTTTATGGAAGAAGATTATTTCAAATAAATAAGCTTCTGAATCTCTTTTGAAACTGCGTGAGATTATAAAGAGAGAAAAAAGGCCTTTTTTTCTACCTAGAATAGAATTTATTCCGTGTCTGTCCCGAGCCAAAACAAGCTTCTAACAGAAACAAAAGTACAATAAAAAAGCTCTGTGTGCCAAAATAGCAGTGAAATAGAAATCCGATGCACATTGTCCATTTCGTCCCCACTTCTATCCCACAAGATTGTACGCACACGGCGGATGTTACGTGTTGATATTATTTTGTTCCGTATATAATTACATCATTGTGCTTATACTACTTGAATCTGGGCAGGACTGTGGCTTTCATTTAATAGCAATGTACGGTTGACCGATTACAGCCTTTACAAACTTCCACCAAACTCTAATATTTATTTAAGGCTAAAAAAAGGATAATGCTCTTGGCGTTGATCAATCACTGAGGGATGCGTCATGCATTCGTTTTCAATGTAAACTTCGTTTGAGGTGATTGAATGCAAATCTGGCCTTTACAATGACTCGCGGTGGCCTCCTGCATAACCAAGTCAGTGCTGTTTATCTTCCCAGGCAGGTCTAAGACCAGTTTGTTACCAATTTACCGACCCCGGAGGGATGAATGGCTTGGTGGGCCATGAGCGCGAGATGGAACCATTGACCTCGTGTGCGACGCAGAACACCTCTAATCATTGCGCACATGCGCTCTTAACACACATTTATCACTTGTTAATGTCGATTTTGTAATTTTCTAGAATTGTCCACTTAGCATTATGAGACACATATTCCGCTCATCTGAAAGAGTCGATTGTGTTGTCATTCGAAACTAACATTTGACATTTCGTGGTCGTTTCTATGCCACTACTCTCTTTAGTTTTCTTGGACTATATCTATTTGGTATTTTACATGTTTCTCGAAACCTGTGATTTTTACTACAAGCTTCTACGATCGGGAAATAATACATGCTGGAAACATAAATTGTGCTTACAAATCGTTTGTCGATAATCGTCTTTTTAGTGCATTTTGGGAACCCTTATCGTTGTTATCATAGTTCTTCTCATGACCGCTTTTTTACAAACTCGCTTGAAACAATATAATCTGATAAGGATATTACATGCTTTGAGCTGTTAGGTCTAGTGGTATACAGGCGCCTGTTTCGTCCTATTAGAACTCATCAG